GCTGGGACAAGCGACGGGCACTCACTCCTGCTGGTCTTCTGACCCTGAAGCACAGGCTTCTGCAGTTTAGCCCACAGTGCCACCACGTCCCTCTAAAAAAGGGATACAGAAACTTAAACTGATTCTTCTAAAGGAAGATTACCTGCTTAAGTGCATGAAGACAGTAATATTTGCCTTCATACACATTCAATGCAAATAACAAAAGGGAAGAAAGTGAAAGAACCATTTTTTAAAAGTTGTGTTTGGGTAAATGGTTATTGCAGCCCTAAATTCTCTATGGTTTCATTGATAAGAAATTGTTATCTCTTTGTTAGGAATTGCAAGCAGTATTGAAATAAAAGATAGTAATAGCTATGTTTTGCTATGGAAAGATGCCTCCTACCCTTCTGGTGAGAGATCATCCCTCCTGGACAGGGAGAACAAGCATAGCAACAGAATTTCTCTCCTTCTTTCTTTTTCTTGTGGAAACCAGGATAGCAGTTGTCATTGCACACAGACACAGGCACCACCTGTCCAGAATTACACAAGATGATTAGCAGGGTTCACCTCGAACAGACCTGTTCTTCTTTGGAAGGTAAGGACTGACTAATACTAGAAATAGCTTCTACATAAGAACATAAGAAGAGCCCTGCTGGATCAGGCCGAGAGTCCCTCTAGTCCAGCTTCCTGTCTCTCACAGTGGCCCCACCGGATCCGTTTGGGAGCACATGAGACAACTAGATACCTGTCTCCTGATACCCCTCCCGTGCATCTGGCATTTTGAGGTACCTTCCTTTTAAGCCTGGAGATTATACACCCCCATCATGGCTTGTAACCTGCGATGGACTTTTCCTCTAGGAATCTGTCCAATCCACTTTTAAAGGCATCTAGGCCAGATGCCATCACCACATCCTGTGACAAGGAGTTGCACAGACTAACAGCACACTGGGTAAATAAGTATTTTCTTTTGTCTGTTCTCACTCTCCCAACACTCAATTTGAGTGGATGTCCCCTGGTTCTGGTATTGTGTGAGAGGGAAAAGATCTTCCCTCTATCCACTTTGTCCACCCCCTGCATAATTTTATATGTCTCAACTTTCTTGTATCTTTCTGAGGGGTGAGTTTAGGTAAAAGAAATTTTGCAGCCTATTTCCCTGGATAAGAAATGTTTTTTCATGAACAGGAGTATGATATCACCTGGCCAATTAAAACTCTTTCCTTTTTATAGCCTGTACTAGTCTGGAGGAAAATCTATACACTCCCTTCTTGCTGCTTACTCTAGAGGCCTATCCCCACCATTTCCCTTTGCTGTTTCTTATTTCAAGATCCTTGTCTTGCCACCACCACATGGTCATTAAAAGATTGTGCTCTTACAAGAGATCATTAACATACTGTAGGTGTGCTTCTAAGGAGCAGCCAAGGTGGGGTTAGGGGGAAATGAGCTTTCACGGAGATGACAAAATTCATGCTTTTGTCACATTGTTAGACAATGTGTGAACTAGGCTTTCAGAGCGACATATAATTTATAACCCTCCTTGACCATTTTGCCTGCGAAGTTCCTCACAAGCAACATTTCTTGAACTGGATTTTGTATGCAATGTGATCCCGATAAATCTACAGTATTATGCAGACCTATTACTTTTTTTGGCAACTACAAGAGGGACATTCATAGAATCAGATAAGAAACTGTAGTAGGTCTGATCAACCTAGAATCTCACCTGATTAAAGCTTGGGTGCCATGTGATCTGACCAACATCTATGGTTAACTCTTTGCCTGGAGGAGCTTTAGGGTCCAGCCTTCCAACTTTTACTCTCCTTATTGAGCCATTGGGAAACATCAACCAGTTTGTAATGTCAAACCCTGCAACTAATTCTCTATTCCCATCAAAATGCAGAGTGTCTCCAGCAGTGTTATTGAATAAGATATTCTTTAAAAAGTGGTGGACCTGGAATGAAAGAGAATGTGAAGAAAATGAAAAGCGGTCCTGAACATAGTATGATAGATTTTCAAAGACATTAGATGTAGAGATTTTATTATTTTTTGTTTCCATGGAGCTGTCTTGATGTAAAGAGCTGAGATAAGGAACAATAGTAGTTTTTGCTACCTGCCATGGCTGAATATTCATAATTGGCAGGTTCCCAGGTTTCCAGTGTTTGGAAGTGGAGCCATACAGAGCATGCAAAGCGTGTGCTACAGCATAGACAGCACTGTAGATGTTGTAGCTGTGGCCAAACATCCTCATTTCAAACAAAGATCCAGGAAGAGTCTCAAGCTTTTCTTCTCCAGTACAGAGGTTATTGTTTCCTTCCTCCCCTTTAGACATCTTGAAAGAACAACTGAAGGACTGCTGCCAGAAGTCCTGGATAAAGCCATCTCCTTTGGCCCAAGAAGGTTTTACAGTCTGAAGGAACTCTTGGAATCCTAATGGTTGATTTGAATGAATGGTAAAGGATAAAGAACCATGGAAAATTTGCATATCCCACATCTTTTGAATAGACTCTGATTCAAAGTCCCAGTGAGATGTGAAAACCCACACTTTATCCAGAGGTGGCAGTGACAAGAAGGGAGTAAGAAACAGCAACATTCTCAGACTCTGAAAAGATGGAGGTTCTCCATACACAAAGATGACACTGGCTTTCCTTTTATAAATAATGTTATAGCTACTCCTGTGTTCCAAATATGAATTTATCAAGTCACCTGCGTAATCCCGTTTGGGCAGTCTAATTATGAAGGCATCACAGATGCCATTCTGAGAAAGCAGTGGCACTATTGTTTGTAGGAACCTGTCTCCTTTGTCATCATCCACAGCACCGAGCCCAATCCACGTCCATCTGAAATGTTGAAGTAACTGCACAACTCCCCTGTACTGCTGAGCTTCATTTGGAACCATCTGGTACAAAAATGGGAAGTGGCCTCCGACACTTTGTGTTGGCAAAAATGATCCATATGTCAGCTGAAATAAAATGAACAAGGATTGTTCAGTTGCATCATTAGAGAGTGCACCTGGGTCTACGTCAGGCACTTTGTTCAACGCCTTTAAGTCCAGATATAGAGACCTCCCAAAAAACACCATTTGCTTGAATGTCATCCACTGCCCTAGCATTCCAACCACCCAACAAGAAATCCCATTGTTGAACCATGTTTTAGAATTTATCAATTTCTCTCAGTATTCAAACAAATGTAATATTGATACCTTTAAAAAAATTATATATATAAATCATGACAATCCATCATGTTACAAGTAATACATACAAGGCTTAACATAGTACTGTAATCTATAATCTTACTTATTATGTAATTTAACTGTTGACCACCTTCTATTCCCCACATTTCATAAAGTCACATTTACACCGTTCCCCATTTCACCTTAGAAAAATATCAACCAACAATCTAAATGCTCCAAATTGTTTTCTGAGCCACATGTTTCCACATTTATTTTATTGGCATATTTTAATAAAGGCTTCCAGCTTTTGGTGAATTGACTATGCCTTATTTCTCCTCCATATAATCTAATGTTATTACGGTAGTCATTTTTTCCTTCAGCATTGTATGCCATATCTTATTTATAAATGTGTGCAATGAGAGATTTTGGCATGTTTCCAATTTCTAGCAATCTTGGATCTTGCTGTCCCTATAAGATTTGCTTTTTGTTGTTGTTTAGTCATTAAGTTGTGTCCAACTCTTCGTGACCCCGTGGACCAGAGCACACCAGCCCCTCCTGTCTTCCACTGCCTCCCAGAGTTTGGTTAAATTCATGTTGGTAGCTTCGATGACACTGTCCAACCATCTCGTCCTCTGTCATCCCTTTCTCCTCTTGCCTTCACAGTTTCCCAACATCAGGGTCTTTTCCAGGGAGTCTGGAAAAGCTCTGACTATACGGACCTTTGTCGACAAGGTGATGTCTCTGCTTGTGCTCCCATATTGCCACTTTATTTATCTTGGGTACCAGCCTGCTCCCTGACTCCTTTATTCTTCTTGTACTATGATTGAATTGCTACTAATTCTTTATTTTCAAGTTTCTCATTTCCCCCTGTAAATATTGAGAATAACAATAATGTTTCATTCATGTCTATTTTTTTTATTAATCAGTGTCTCTATCCATCTAATTACTTCACACCAGAATCCTTCTATTTTGGGGCAAGATATCCATATGTGTTCCAAAGTTCCTTTTTGTCCACAGTTCCTCCAGCATTTATTTGATATATCTTTATTAATTCTGTGTAACTTCGTAGGATATAAATGTCACCGGTGTACTACCTTCAGAACCATTTCTTTCACATTTGCTGATATTGATTTATACGATTTCTTTTCAGTACTGGAATCTATCTTTATCCTTGTCCACAGAAACTATACTATAGAAAAGTTTAGTATAAAGACTGGGATGCTATGCACTACATGAAAATTCTCTCTCTATATATATTTGTTGTTGTTGCTTCAAATCTATAGTTATATTAGTGCAGCTTGAATTTCTTTATTGTTGCTGTTATTATCAGTCATAAGTCTTGGAATCTTTTCACTTCTTATAGGCTAGCCTCATATCCTCTGTCCTCTTAATGCAGGATTTCCCTTTTCTTTCTTTTATATTTTGTTGCATATTACTTTCTTACATTTGTCTAGGTTTTCCAATCTGCCTTAATTTCATCATTGTCATTTAAGTTATGTGCATACATTGGAGTTCATTTTACCTAAGGTTTGATAAGATTCTGTCCACTTCTTCATCACTGATAATATGCCAAAGAGTTGACGATGATTCTTCACTTTCCTCACTTTGATGATCAACCATGGATAACCAAGCATTGATTTGGAATTGTCTTTCTAACTAGCTATGAATCCACCGTATGAGTTTTATCATCCTAGCCTGCATTTAACCAGTTTGTAGACTGAACTATCAGAGAATAACATTCTTCACTGGTATGGAAGGTAGTGCACCACACTTCTCAAACCCTCAGGCATACAGCTTACCTGTGGAGTCTTGTAGTTTGTTAAAATGATTTCTATATTGGTTGAAATTTCAGAGGTGGCTCCTCCAATGACAGCAATTAGATTATTGTGGTTGTGACACTTGAAGTTGGGGACAAGCCTGTCTTGCGTAGAAAGAAGGCCGAGAATGGCCTTACAGGTCATTATTGCTGTGTAGTAGCTATTGAGGATGTAGAATCCCAGAGAAATATTTGGTAAAATTTTAGTATTCTCATTTATCTCTTTGACAGCGAATGCCAAGGCTAGAATATGCTGGTAACTTTTAGGCCCTGAACTGTTGATAAAAGTTAGAGGCTGTTTAATGAAAGAAGAGCAACAGTAACATATCCATCATTATTTCTTGCCATGTTTTTGTGGCATTCATTAAAAGAGTAAAAGATAATAACACAGTCTATAAGACATCCAAAGTACTCCTCAGGAAGCACAGCATTCTCAAGAGATTTTGAGATAATTCTGTTCATACACGGCTGACTCCAGTTATTTGTGTACAACAAAAGAAAAAGTTAAAGTGACCTGACTTTGGCCAATGGATCATGTACAGCATATAGAACTCTGGCATATTCTTATGTACTGGATGGGGGAAAAAGGACCAAAAGCTGAAATCAGAAATGCTACTGGAAAGGGAAATAGAAAAAGGTTTAAAACAAGCTTCCTTGTGGTGGCTAATGTGGTCTCTTTTAGAAGCAGCAACCTATAAAGGGCAAGCAAAAATTCTGCAGCACCCTTGAAACTAGCTGGATTTTTTTCAGTGTGGCATTTTGGAGACTACAGTCTATATCTACAAACACATATGTATATAGTCTTGTTTTCCCTTGATATTTCATAAGTGCACCAATAATTATATTGGGCTTGTGCATGGTGATTAAGGGCCAATGGTCAAGTCAATGCAACTGACTTTTGAAATGAATTTCCATGATATTCTGCTTCTGTAACTCTAGAAATCTGATGAAATTGGACAAGACTGTGTCTTTAAAAGCTTGTATCAAGTCTGTGTTAAAACTACGGGAGATCAAGCTGTGGGAAATGCTGCCCCAGCTAAGGGTACCCTACTCTGCTATCTTCACACACCCTATATAACTATAGATTTAGCAATACCGGTCTGGCCAGCAGGGAAAAATTGATTCCTACCTCATCAGATGTGATGACTGTCGCTAGGTCTGCACCCTGCTTAAGTAAAAGGAATTTATGTAGAGATTTATAGAATGTTTTCTTGATGGTTTCATTTTAGTGACCCAGTTCTCAACCCATCAGATCCAGATCCAGTAGACCAAACCCATAACTACATATACATAAAAACTCATAAAGGAATCTGACAGGATTGCACATGGTTTTGGAAAGCTTTCAACTCTTTGTATTCGCGAAGGCTTTCACGGCCGGGATCTAATGGTTGTTGTGGGTTTTTCGGGCTCTTTGGCCGTGTTCTGAAGGTTGTTCTTCCTAACGTTTTGCCAGTCTCTGTGGCCGGCATCTTCAGAGGACAGCACTCTATTTCTAATTAATCTGGTTCTGTAAATTGTGGAAGCAGATCAATAAAACAAGAAAAATAGGAAGAACATGAAGAAGTAAACACTAGAGTGTTCCTGAACTATAGCAATAAGAAATGATCGCAAATAAAAAATAAAATAAAAATAAAAGTTTCGGACTAATTGCTATTTTTTTCAATGTGAGCTTTTGTGCACATGTTGCCTTCTTCAGACTTGTCCATGAAAGCTCATATACAAATATAGCAATTAATCCTAAAGGTGTCACAATGTATTATCTTCCTTACTTTTTCATTTTTGATTTGTTTTTGCCTGACATGCTAGCACAGATTAAGATGGCTACCTCTTCTAAAACTACATATTTTGGTGTTTTTTTAGCGTGGTGGCTATGTATTATTTTTGTGCAGAGAAATACACAGGATATATTCATTCAAATTTGACTTCTGAAAAGAGATGTGTTGATCTTTTCTATCCAATAATACTGTGTAGAAGGAAGAAACAGACACGAACAATAATAAAGATGACAGAACCGAAACATGGTGGGAATACCATGTCCCTCAAAGCAAGAAGGAAATCTGTCATGGCACGATTTTAGTCATTATTATTTTTTGCATGTTAAAAGAAGAGAAAGGAAGAAAACGATGGATCTTACATAGGTTCGTCGATCAACATCTGTGCAGGCTGCTCCGTGAAAGAGAAGGCGCTGTAATGTAAAAAGACCTGAGAAACGATCATACCAATCACAAGGCTGCCTCCCTGGTAAAATTTATGAGGAATAGGGAGAGGATCGTCATAGATGGTGCAATTAATAAAATGTGTTCTGCACACAGTATGACACAGGAATACAAGAAGCAACACCACCACTAGCACAATCCTGTTGATAAAACCTATACCCCCACAATCAATTGCCATGTTTCTTCCGTCAGCGGTATATGTGTGTACACCATCAGTTTAACTGCACCTTTCTGTGAACTGGAAATGATTTTGTTGCTATTCTGACTTACTTCTTGTCTCACTGTAAATTATAAGCCCTGTAAATTTGTATTGGTTCCTTGTCCATCAATGTCCCTCAACAACATTTAAAATTAAGGATGGATGATACATTTGTTAGACTGCTCAAATGACACAAACAGGCGAGCTTTTGAATTCTGCAGGAGTCTTCATTAGGCTAGATATTACGAAGGAAAATATCAAATGCCTTTTCTTCCCTAGCTTTATTTGCTAAAGTTGAATGGGATGTATAAACTTCTTATTTCTTCTTAAAAGCTTCACAGATTGCCATTTGATTACTGGAAAAAATACTCTGAAAGCAAATTAAACAAACAACATTGACAATCCCTGAATATGTGTTCTCATTTAGTTGTGTGGGTGTTAGAAATAAATAGAGTAAATGGATAAGTCAAGGTAATGATGACTAGTATGAAATATCTATTGGTTGAGACATGCTTAAAAACATTAGAGGGCTTATGAATAACACACCTTGGTCATATTCTAAAAAGATATTTTAAAGATTTTTCAGATGCGATTGTTGTTCTTGCTAATGGGCCCTGAAACTCCATTGTGTAACAGAATGGAAACCAGTCATTATGTCAATGATAGAGCAGAAAGTTATAATTCCCAAGTGTGATGTTAATCTTTCAGATTGCATCATGTTATTGCAGAATTATAGTAGAGATTTCTTTTCTTTTCTGTTTAACTTTCTTGTGTCTTTGTTTCCTACAAACATGACTTCCTTCTTTGTGGGCCAAAGATTCAGTCACAGGTAGCAATTAGTTTAGAAATTGATTTTCAGTTATGCAGAATAACAGGCCACTCATATTTAGTTGAATCACAGGTCAATCAGATTTAGCGCCACATTACTTCCAATTAATATCTCTCTCCTTTTTGATTCTCACTAGTATTATTTTTGACCATTTTGTGTTTTAAAAGATCCGTGAGTCTGACTAAGGAAAATAAGGTCACTTTTTCAATGTTACATTTTAAATTTGACTTGATATGCACTCATATTCCACAATAACCACGGTCTGTATTTGCTAGGGTTCATTGTATAAGCCAGAAAGAGAGGTGCAGATGACCTTGTGAACCAGAGCTTGTCATAGTTGATGGCTTGTTTCCTCTCCAGTTTTGCAAGCCCTTCCTGGAATTGCAGGCACCTTGTATTTAGTGTGCTTTGTTCTGTGACTGATTAATGGAAGGATAATATGGGCTTCAGGTACACATCTCATTATAGAGGCATCTGATGAAAGTGTATGACACTGTCAACATATTTGACAGGGACATTTTGTAAGTTTTCATAGGTTGTGGAGTGCACTCTCTCTGGGAGTTAAGTTGACCCCATTGCCTTTATCCTAATGCCTAAAGCTGAAGATTTACTTTTTCAGGCAGGCATTTAATGACAATGACTGAATCCCTTGATGCTGTTTTTCTCTCCTCAGTTTTTCTAAGTATATTCTAAAAGTTTCAAATACTTTAAGATGAATTAATGGATTTTATTATTGCAGATTCATTTTTAACCTTTAATTTATTGTGCTTTTAGTGTCACTTGTTTTAATGTAAATAAAATACAATAGCATAAGTTACTTGGGCTGTTATTCTACTTTATTATAAATGCAGCTTGGGGATTGACCTATTAAACTAGAGAAAGTTACTGAGAATCATTCTACTGGATAAGGAATGCGCTTGGTTACACTTGGAGAATCAGAGGGGAGAAATATCAAAATATCTCCTCAGTTCTAAAGTGTGTTCTAAAAGTTTCAAATACTTTAAGATTAATTAATGTATTTTTTAATTGCATGTTCAATTTTTTTGATTACACTTGGAGAATCAGCGGGGAGAAATGTCAGCATCACATGTCCTTTCTTTTCTATCATGGAAGAAAGGATGTTGGACTATTCTCAAAATTCTTTTGTAAAAATTTTTTTAGGCTCCTTGCAAAATGGACCTTTAGAACATTCATCTGCTCAAAAATCTTTCCTGAACCACCATCTGGTTTTCAGATAAACATCAAAGGTTACATTTTCAAGAATGGAGAAATGGTAGTCTTCTGCACCTATGCAACATGTTTGTGGTTAACAGGAGAAAAGATGGGGAACAATTAACAGATCAGTGAAAGGGAACTTGAACAAGGTTCCAACGACATTGGGTGATTCATTTTACCTCTTTACTAGTGATTAGGGAACAAGCCACCATGTCACTTTAATCATGTATGAGTCATGTGCACCTCAAAATTGCTTTGAATCAGCAGTGACTTGCTTAAAATCTACCGTGATTTGCAGCTGATAACGACACCACCTCCAGTGCACACATAGAAGTGCACAACAGGACTTTAGACAGTATATTACTAAAAGTCTTCCAGATAGCTTTGGCCCGAGTCATGGTGCTTTGAACTGTGCCTAGAGACAGCCTAGTAACTAGTGAAGCTGTTGTAGGAAGGTAGTTATGTGTAGTGCTAGAACAAAGCATGTGCTATGTTGGTAGAATTCTGTCGCCTGATGAAAAATCATTGGGGAGCCCATTGAGTTTTGGGAGATCTGGTTATGGATGCTTCCTGCTGAAGGTGTTATAAGTCTTAAAGATGCCACAAGACTTTTCTGGCTGATGTATTGTTGCTGGTAATAGTAAGCACAGCAATGAGACTTAGTGGGGATTAAAGTTAAATGCCTCCACCAACGGTGTACTCTAAACCCCTCTATATAACCCACATGTTTTGCACCCATCACATATAATGGGAAAGCTATCTCCTACTAGTACTGTGGCTCCTTCTTTTTCTCTTTATTTTGTAGAAAGTTACACTCACATCACATCAAACCTTTAAGGAGGGTTCTAAAACCTAGAACAAGGACCAATTCTCCTTTAAGTTGAGGTTCTTGCCTTTGTCTCCTTCCTTCCAACACCTTCTGTGTCTCACTGACGATTGTGTATCTTTCCCCCTGTAATGAGTGCATATCTATCCTTTTATTGATAAGAGCCCATGTTGGCCCTCTTACTATAAAAGCATGCCATTCAGAGAAAGCATTGTCTGCAAAACCCAGTCATCTTTTCTTTCCTTCTTAATGACATGCTGAGGAACCTGACATTGATTGCCCTTCAGTGAATGAGACTCAAAGAGCTGCTTGTTTCTTTCTTGTGTAGCTAAGTCTTCCGCAGAAAAGCATTATGTCCCATTATAGATCTAAGTTGTTCCCAACTCAACCTGCATCTTTACAAGTCATCAGTGTGTAGCCTTTAATTTAGTTGTGCTCTGCTCTTCATGCTCTCACTTTGCTGCAGTCCAATAACGTTTTATTGATAAACTTCTTTTTTTAAAAACACAACAAAATAAATATATATGGCCTCACAACGGTGCCTATTACAACAGGTCTTATGTTATGGTTTAGTACAACTGTTTTCCTAGAGTTTTGATCCATGAATATACCACCACGATATCCCACATTCACAAAATGGAAGACTTTTTTGGGGAAGAATTGCATTTTCTTTTACATAGAAGAAGGTATATAATGCTGATCACACTTTCTCTGTTTCTTTTTAAAAATTATGCACTGTAGGCTTGAGGAGAGATTTATTTATTCCTTTGAGTACAGAAACAAAGGAGAAAATAAAGTGGATTTTTCTCTTCACATGTTCTGACTACATCCAGCCATTAAGATTTGAATCTAATATAAGTAACTGGATATAAAGTCCTGCTGAAATCAGTGAGACTTTGTTGCTTTAAAAAGTCCACCATTAAAGGAGATGAATTATCAGATTCTATGCCATAATTTTAATTTAACAGGTGGTGTAATCTAAATCAAAATTGATCACTGGCCATCATAGGTACAGAAGATCTTTGTGCAATCTCAGATCTACTTGCATATTGCACTTGTGAGCACACTGCTGAGATTAGCAGTGTAACCAAAAAGGGGTCAGAGAAGGGAAGGAGCAGGGGTGTGAGTGAGTGTGCCAGAACCATCTTAGCCCAGATATACAACCACTGTGAAAGCCCATACTGTAACTAGGCTGGGATCATGGTAGACATAAGTAATTGCCAGCATCGGTAGATGGAAAGAATTTGGCATCAACATAGCCTCAGCTCGCTTAGTGTTAGCTTAGTCAATTTTCAGTCATCTTATTTATTTAAGATTACACCATCTGCTACTGAGAAAATAATTTGTTATTGAAAAAAATAATCAAAGGAACTTCTATCTAGTTTTCTTCCAAGCTGCCTGGTAGTTTGGGTGTTATCTCTTAAAATAAATTCTTCTGAATTCATTCTTAAATTTTATATTTTGCAGTACTAAGAAGAGACAAGCATCATTGTGTCACTACTTTCTTCGTGTGAGTTGTTCCCTAGTGTTTAACTCTGGCCTTAATAAAATGATGTAACATTTAGGGAAAAAGATGCAGCCCAGTAAGCCAGCAGTGGAGGACAAGATGGAGAAGATCTCCACAGCCACCATGTATTTGCCTTTGGTGCTCAGGTAGGTTGGAACAAAGGACACCCAAACACTGCAAAACACCAGCATGCTGAAAGTGATGAATTTGGCCTCATTGAAGCTGTCAGGCAATTTCCGGGCAAAGAAGGCCACCAGGAAACTGACACTGGCCAGGAAGCCCAAATAACTCAAGACACCATAAAACATGGATGTAGAACCCTCATTACATTCCAGTATGATCTCTTTACCTAGCTGGTGCATGTTTACATCTGGAAATGGAGGAGACATCAAGAGCCAAGTGGTACATATAGCTATTTGAATAAAAGAGCCAGAAAGGAGAATGGAATTTGCCAGTCTTTTTCCCATCCATTTTCTCATTGTGGATCCTGGTTTGGTAGCTATAAATGCCAGCACCACTGTGATGGTTTTTGCCAAAATGCTGGAAAGGGCCACAGAGAAAACTATGCCGAACATCACTTGTCGGAGGAGGCAAGTCAGTTTTGTAGGATGTCCAATAAAGAGCAAAGAACAAAGGGAGCAAAGAAGAAGGGAGATGAGGAGGATGTAGGTAAGGCTCCTGTTGTTGGCTTTGACTATGGGTGTGTTTTTATACTTCATAACCATTGCAAGCACTAAAGCTGTGATCAAGGAAAAGAAACCAGCCAAGATGGATAAGATGATCCCTAAAGTTTCTTGTTGAGAGAGGTAGCTTATGGTCTTGGAAATGCAATGAGTTTGATCACTGCTGGAATATTCATGTTCTGGACATTGGGCACAGGAATCCATGTCTAAAAAAAGGGATATAGAGACTCATTTAATTCACATAAAAGAACTACAGTCATAACTGCCTTCATACACATTCAATGTAAATAATAGAAGCGGAGAAAGTGAAAGAAATTTCTGTTTGAGTAAATAGTTGTTGTAGCCCTAAATTCTGTATGGTTTCAGTTATAAGAAGTCTTTCTCTCTTTGTTAGGAACAGAAGGTAGTACAATCAAAAACAGTAAGAGCTATGTTTTGCTATATAAAGTTTCCATTATGCCTCCTACCCTTTTGGTAAGAGATCATCCCTCCTGGACAGGGAGTACAAGCATAGCAACAGAATTTCTCTCCTTCTTTCTTTTTCTTGTGGAAACCAGGATAGCAGTTGTCATTGCACACAGACACAGGCACCACCTGTCCAGAATTACACAAGATGATTAGCAGGGTTCACCTCGAACAGACCTGTTCTTCTTTGGAATGTAATGATTGACTGATGGATTGGTAATACTCAGAATAGCTTGTAACCTTCTGAGGACTGAGTTTTGGAAAAGAAAATTTGCAATCTTCCTCAACAGTGAGTACAGACTCCACAGTTCTCTTTTCACATGGGTTCAAAAGAGAGAAGAGTTGCAGTTTTCCCTGGATGAGAAATGTTTTTTTTCATGAACAAGAGAATGGTATCTCCTGATCAAAGAAGCTACTTTCCTTTTTCAACATGGAATCCTTCTTTTCTTTCTTTTTGGACAAGTTGTTTTTCCACTTTCTCAACAAGGAATCAATCATCTTGGGATTCCTTGTGAACAGAAAGTAATAAAGAAATAGTTTAAGGAAAAGATAATCTTCAAAATTCCACTGGTACAAATTCAGTGGATGCCATTACGTTTCATGGTATGGAAAGTGGAGTAGCCCAAGGTGGATGGAGAGACAAGCCAAAAATAGGGATTCTTACATACACACAGGTAGGTGTTTTCCCTCACACAAGTTCACACACATAAGAGCAGGCAGGCAGAGATTAACTCAGGTACTGTCTTATCCACATCCCATTCTTTCATTCTACAAAATTAAAAATATTCCTACTTGCTGGTGTTTTCCTCTAGGTCTGGATTCAAAGTTAGTTGACTTATTCACATACACACACTCATTCACTTACAAAGTGTGTGAGGCTACCCTACTTGTCAAAATTTTTTGTCCTTTCCCCAGTGTCTCTCAAAATTCTAACTTGATCCACACTTGATCACTTTCTAAATCTCTCATTCTTAATGACAAGCTGACTTTGTCTACAAGGACTCTTTTACTTTATTAAATAGTGGTAGAGCATAAGTTTATAGTTGCTAGATTTCTATTGTGACAGATTGCAAAATACATATAACTGTTAATTCAATTCATACTCAGGACACCAGATAGCAGATAAGTTTGATGGAGGACTAATTTGAAGTCCCAGCAAACTTTTCCAAGTTGACTAATGGATGGATGCAGATACATGCCTTCAAGAGCTTCAATCAACACTTCACAGCTAAGTGAAATTTCCAGAACAAGTGGAAACTTTTCCTTCTCATCTGCAAGCTTTTTCTAAAGGAGTCAGTTGCATTCAACTCCTTTGGAGCTGCTGGATTTTTGAATGTTTGAGTTTTAAGTATTGAAATCCTTACCCATGCCAAGATAATGCCAGGAACATGTCCACAAAGCAAGAGGCAGGCAAATGGCAATGGAGCAGGAGGATTCGTACCAGAAGCCAGCAACTCATACAGACAAGGAGATCATGGATTTCCCTCCAAAGGTTCAAACTGGCTGGCTTGCCTAGGTGAGAACATTTTATAACAATTTTATTGTGCGTCTGGATATGCTAAAAGGCAAAGGGATGAATTGTTTTGACTTTCATATATTTTTAATTCAATAAATGTTGATATTTTTACCTACTGTCTTCAAATGGGCTCTGTACACCTCTGCATTTTTGGATTGATGTATAAATTAAGTTCCTGCCTCTAACTTTTATAGCTATAAGCTTATAATTGAAATATACTGTATTTTTATGACTGAAGAATTTGAATAAAACTTGAATTCAGTCTTCATATAGCCTTAAGCATTTGTAACTAAGTTTTTCAACCATGTAAAATGAACTTCTGTAAGATGCAGTAAATGTGCCTGACACGAACTTCCAAGGGGTGTTATAATCATATTGTGCTCTGGTTCTATAGTTTGAGTGGCCAACATTTGGCCATGACATGGTCTCGATCCACCAACTCATCAATCTCTGCTTTGCTGCTAGGGTGGAAAACAGGAGGATGCTTGAAGATTTGAAGATCTGTTTACGAATACTGTCATAAAATGTCCACATTCTCATAGCACAACTCAAAATAGTTAATGAGATCGACTAAGATTTTTTATCGAATTAATTAAATAATCTTTTGATTTTTAATCGTTCAAGCTTTTACAAGTATGCCTCACCTGCTTAAAGCTTGGGTGCCATGAGATTTGACCAACGTCTATGGTTAACTCTTTGCCTGGAGGAGCCTTAGGGTCCAGCCTTCCAACTTTTACTCTCCTTATTGAGCCATTGGGAAACATCAACCAGTTTGTAATGTCAAACCCTGCAACTAATTCTCTATTCCCATCAAAATGCAGAGTGTCTCCAGCAGTGTTATTGAATAAGATATTCTTTAAAAAGTGGTGGACCTGGAATGAAAGAGAATGTGAAGAAAATGAAAAACTGGGTCCTGAACATAGTATGATAGATTTCTGAAGACATTAGATGTAGAGATTTTATTTTATTTTTTGTTTCCAAGGAGCTGACTTGATGTAAAGAGCAGAGATAAGGAGCAATAATTTTCAGAATGTTTAAGAACGGGTTATATTTGCAATTTACCGGTAGTTCCATTAATATTGAGTTCACTGACATCATATTTCCATCTAGATTTAATGCAACATGGTTAATCTTCTCTCGTTGAAATTGTCTGACAAAATGAAGAATTTTGTTGCATTTTTTTATTAATTAGAATATTAGTGTTTCCCCTTGCCTCTTGATCATATGCATAAACTAACATGGTTTTCTAAAAACGTGTTTTAACTACCTGCCATGGCTGAATATTCATAAGTGGCATGTTCCTTCTCTCCATGGACCTCCTATATTTGGAAGTGGATCCATACAGAGCATGCAAAGCATGTGCTACAGCATAGACAGCACTGTAGACGCTGTAGCTGTGGCCAAACATCCTCATTTCAAACAAAGATCCAGGAAGAGTTTCGAGCTTCTCTTCTCCAGTACAGAGGTTATTGCTTCCTTCCTCCCCTTTAGACATCTTGAAATAACAACCGAAGGACTGCTGCCAGAAGTCCTGGATAAAACCATCTCCTTTGGCCCAGGAAGGCTTTACAGTCTGAAGGAACTCTTGGAAACCTAATGGTTGGTTTGAGTGAACAGTAAAGGATAATGAACCATGGAAGGTTTCCATATCCCATATCTTTTGAACAGATACTGATTCAAAGTCCCAGTGGGAGGTGACAACCCACACTTTCTCCAGAGGGGGCAGCGACAAGAAGGGAGTAAGAAACAACAACATTCTCAGACTCTGAAAAGATGGAGGTTCTCCATACACAAAGAGGACACTGGCTTTCCTTTCAGTGACCTTTCTATAACTTTCCCAGTGCTTTAAATATGAGTCTATCAGGTCCTCCACATAATCCCATTTGGGTAATCTCACTATGAAGGCATCACAGATGCCATTCTGGGAAAGCAGTGGCACTATTGTTTGTAGGAACCTGTCTCCTTTGTCATCATCCACAGCACCGAGCCCAATCCATGTCCATCTGAAATGCTGAAGTAACCGCACAATTCCCTTGTATTGTTTGGCTTCATTCGGGACCATCTGGTACAAAAATGGAAAATGGCTTCTGCTATTTTCTGCTGGCAGAAAGGATCCATAGGTGAGCTGGAATAACATCAGTAAAGCTATTTTTAGGATGGATTAAAAGAGAACACACATGAGTGATTTTAAAATGTTACATTTTTAACACAGGTTTAAAGATCTCCACTAGACAGCTGCCTAATATTTGCGTAGCCTCCAGATAAATAAGCTCTCTTTTTAAAACGTTGTTTCACCATTTAGACATTTCTCACAGCGTTCGAAGAAAATGAAATTGTAACACCTAGGCAGCAGATTTTATACTCTTCAGCATGATTTCATTCTCACATAAAATACAGCATGTGCCACATTCCTTTTATGTAACTTCTTTTCAATACTGCTAGCTATGTTTCTCAAATAACAGTCCCAATACTTGCTTGACCCTTTCCTCACTACTTTTACACAGTCTGCTGAGACAGTCTGTCGACATATGAACTCTGAGAGATCAAAGTCTATTCTTCCATACCAGATATTCTGACATGACAGTGGAAATTTACAAGTCAGCAGTGAGAGAAAGGAGGAAAGCACTCCCGCCTCCTTTTCGAAGTGAAACTGACTAGAGATATTTCTGCTGTCCTGTCAGACTAGCGCTTTCCCATTTGGAAAAAAAAAATAAGCACTGGCCAACAGCAGAGGTAGTAAGAGGTTCTGGGAGGTAGCCAGCATGAGGGTGGGTGAAAATGCAAGGATTCTAAATGAAATTTAATTGAAATCATGTCTGCAAACACACTGATTCATGAAATGATTTAAAATGATTTAAAATCCCTTGTGTAGTTTCCTGAAATGGTTTTAAGCCCCTGCTTCATATCAGAATGATAATTTTCAAAGTGGAAATTTCAAAGGGTTTATCATCTAGATAGCATTTCACAAATTTGTGGCCCAAAATAATTGAGAAAACATCATGAAATCTTTGACTGAAATGGAAGGTACTGTATCATACATCTTAAATAGAGCCTACCTGGGGCGTCTTGTGGTTGGCTGATAGGATTTCTACATTGGCAGAAATTTCAGACAGACACCCTCCAATGACAGCAATCAGACTGTTGTGGTTGTGACACTTAAAGTTGGGGACAAACCTGTCCTGTGTAGAAAGAAGACTGAGAGTGGCCTTATAGGTCATTCTTGCTGTGTAGTAGCTATTGAGGATGTAGAATCCCAGAGAAATATTTGGCAAAATTTTAGGATTCTCATTGATCTCTTTGACAGCAAATGCCAAGGCCAGGGCATGTTGGTAATTTTTAGGCACTGAACTGTTAACAAGAGATAGAGGCCATTTAACTAAGGAACAAAAACAATACCATATTCATCATCATTATCTGGCATACTTTCAACACTTACATTCATTTAGACTAGAGCATGAAGCAAAATTACAGATAGACATCTGCAATCCTTTTATTTCTTATGACCCACCATATTTCAAATGGATTTTAGGGTTCTATTGATCTGACAGTGCTTCTTGGAGTATAATGAAAGAAAAAGGTACAGAGGTCTGAATTTGGATCATGGATCATGCATAGTATCCTAAAGTGAGATATATTCTTATATATTGGATGTTTAACAAGAATAAGAAGCTGAAGTGAGAGAAGCTATTGGAGATGGAAAACAGAAAGGGGTGCATTACAAGCTTGGTTGGCAACTAAGTTAATCCCTTTTTTGAACAATAACTAGCAAACAAACCAAAGATGAAAGTGCCATGATGCCTTGAAGAATAGCTTATTTCTTTCAATGTGAGCTTTTGCAATTTACAGAACATATCTTCAGATCTATACAGAGACTGGTTTTGTTGTTGTTCAGGGTTTCTTAAGTGCACCTACAGTTGAAAAGAGTATTCCAGGGATGAAGAAAATCATCATCATCTTAGAACTGCACAGATCAAAGAGATCCTATGTTGGAGTAGAGCATGGTGACTAAGAACCAATCATGACATTCATGTAACTAACTTTTGAGATGGATTTCTATGATATTTGATTAGTGTGCCTTCAAAAGTCTGGAAAAATGAGACAAGTCTGTGTCTACAAAAGGTTGAATCATACATGTGGCAAACTGTTGGAGAGCAAACTGGGAAAGGTGCTGTTCCAAAGCACCAAACAGGACACTCAAAGCTACAATCCATACTACAGTGGTGCCTTGGCTTACAAACGTCCCAACCTATGAACATTTTGAGTTACGAACAGCTCTGTTCGCAGAATTTTGCTTTGACTTGCGAACAGAGCTTTGACTTACGAATGAAAAAAAAATCATGGGGAAGGCAGGAAATTTGAACTTTCAGTTAACCATTGGCCAGCGAAGAGACTGCTCGTCTGCTACCTCACTCACCCCAGCAGTTAGAGAGTGTGGATATGGAGAGAAACTTCAGACTGCCTACTGCCTGGTACTGCCTGATACTGTACTGTACGGACTGTATTTTTTTTGGCTTTTTTATTTTTGGATTTTTTGACTTTCTTTTTTAAAACAGAGAGACTGCCTGTTCTGGGTGAGTACACTGTATTTACTGTATGGGGGATTTGCAGCTTGGGGTAAAAAATATTATACACACACACACACACACACACACACATATACATACATACATACATATAATAAAATAGAAAAAAAATCCTAAAGTATGGAAATGCTCAAAGGAGATCAGAATCAGAGATAGAAGCAAAGGTTGGAAGGTTTAGCAAGAAAGAATGAGAAAGAATGTGGAAAAAACTAATCTTTTCATCCTCCCTCATTTTTTAAAGTGTTGATGTCTTACAGAAAAGAACAGCTTTCATTCATTTAGATGAAGCTTTTCAAGGGAATTGTGCTAATGCTTTGTTTCCAATACTGTCATATAGAAGGCAGAAGCAGATGACAACAATGATGATAAAGATCCTAAAGCTGATACATTGCAGGAATGCTATGCTTCATCAAAGCAAAAAGAAAGTCATTTATGTCAGGCTCTTTGACATTATTGTTTTAACACATTACGATGAAAGGGAGATTTAAAAAAAAAGACAAAAGGGAATAGAAGGGAAAAAAAGTGTCTTACATAGGTTCATCGATCAACATCTGCGCAGGCTGCTCCGTGAAAGAGAAGTTGTTAGAGAGAAGAATGACCTGGGAAATAATCCCACCAATCACAAGGTTGCCTGGCTGGAAAAACTGGTGCGGAATAGGGAGGGGATCGTCATAGACGGTGCAATTAATAAAATGTGTTTTGCCCACAATACGACACGAGAGAACAAGGAATAACATCATCACCAGCACAATCCTGTTCAAAAAACATCTGCTTCTGAAATCAATTGCCATGTTTCTGTTTTCAACGTTATATTCGATTCTATTATTAGTTTAACTGCAGCCTCCTCTGAATTGCAAATGGTGCTGTCTCTTCTTGTTTTGTTGAGGAATATGAATCTTGTAATTCATATTGGTTCCTTGTCCATGAATGCCCCGACCAAAGATTCCAAAAACAAGGGTGGCAGACAATTTTATTTGGTCAGTAAAATCTCAGAAACAGTCAAACTTTCAAGTCCTAGAAGAGACTTCATGAGGCTAGGCATTGCTGAGCTAAACATCTCATAAGCTTCTTACCTCCTTGATTTGTGCTCTGGGTGGGACTGCGAACTGTAAAATGCTTTTTTTTTCTTCATAAAATCTGTTTAGTTACAAGCAACATAAACTTTGCAGTGGCATGTAAAGGAAAACAAGTAATATTGTGAATTCTTGACCCTTCTCCCCCCCGCCCCCATTCATGTACATTAGAATTATTTAAAAGGTATTGGCAGTAGATGAAGGAAGAAAATGAAAAGAAGAATGGAAGGTATGTTCCCACATAGGTATTATAGTAAGTTGATGTATGCTAGTTCATAGCTTCATCATTAAAGTTCGGTTTTCCCAAGCTGGAAAAAAAATATAAAGATGAGTCAGACAAGGAGAAGAAAGGAGAGTCAGTGGTAATCACAGTATATTTCCTTTGATTTAAAAATAATGGTAGGACCGATGGATTGAAATTTAACTAAAATAATGGAAATGATGTATACAAAAGGATGGCCAGACCTCTGGACAATACACTTCAGTCATGTTCTAAAGGGCATGTTGTCTTTTAAAGCTTTTTCAGAAGTACTTGTTGATCTTGCTAACCAGTCCTGGAAATCCATTGTGTAACAGAATGGAAACCTATTTTTTCCCCTTAATGATAGGGCAGAAAGTTACATTTCCCAAATGTGTTGTTTGTCTTTCAAATTGCATCATGTTGTAACGGGATTATAGTAAACTTCTGTTTTCTTTTAAACTTTTTTCCCCCCTCTGGTGAACTGCAAGTGTCATTTTCTACTTTGAAGAACAAGAAATCACAGGAACTGGAGGGTGATTGTCAGAATTATACTGAATCACAAACCCATCATGCTTGGCACCAGATCACTTCAAAATAATGTTCATCTCCTCTATGTCTCACACTATTTCTTTTTTTAAGTGTAAAGTTTTTTT